TGGAGTGTGTAGGAGTCTCTGAAAGTGCAACCTCAGGTGACATTTGCTTTGTAAGCAATCATGATTTCATCATTGATTTATATTCATATCTTTTAGAATGTGTTCTACCATAGAGCACTTTTTTCACCTCTCCCATTCTCTTGAACCTTTAATTATGGTAACTGAGAAACTTATCCAGTTTTCCAATTAAATTTCATTTTGTGAGTTTATCTGTCAAGATAACTTTGTATCTAGATGTTGATTCATCATAGATTTCAGCTTTTTGCTATTCACAGATGTAATATTCAGGCACTTTTTTTTAACCCAGTCAGTTAAAAACGTTGAGCCAGACCAAAAGCAAACATTGTGGCCCACTAACACTGCGGGGTTGTGGTTATTCCACATTTTGTACCATGCTTTCATTCAATCTGCCCATTCTTTTTTTACATTTTGTACCATGCTTTCACTCCAATCTGACCATTCTTGTTTACCTTGCTTTTGCCCCATTATTTGACTCTTAGTGACTGCATAAACTGAGCACATTTTCCTTCAGGCTTCTGGTTGGATTTACCAGTGGAAGGCACAGGAAGGGAATCTGAGAGAGAGAGAGAGAGAGAGAGAGAGAGAGAGAGAGAGAGAGAGAGAGAGAGAGAGAGGAGAGAGAGAGAGAGAGATTGAGAGCGCGAGAGAGCCCACATCAGCTAACCAACTCAATTCTCTTTCCCCAACCCTGGCATTATAGCATCTGGAAATTTGGGATATGCGTGGTGGAAGGATCCCAGTAATTCTGGGATCCCAGTAATTACCCAGCCTCAGCCTTCTCCACTCCCTTTGCTTCTGCAGAAGGATTTTTAAAATCTGCTGTGTTGGAACCCAACCCAAAAGCTGCGGTTCAGGCCGCTGCATCTTTGAAAGTGATTTCCCTTTGAATTGTCTCGGTGCTGACTTGGGGGGAGGGTAGGCACGTGGGGCGCTCCTACGTGGGTGTAGCCTGAATGAGCCCCCCACCTCCATCACATCTCCGGCTCCCCTTTTGGCTGACTCTTCTCGGGTATTCGGGGGCAGCCGGCGGGGGCTCATGGCCTGGAAGAGGTCCCCTCCCCTCCGGCAGAAACAGGCGGAGGGATGGTTGAGGGACGCATCACCAATCCCAGACCAGAGCCTCCCATCAGCCGCCCACGCACATCCCTGCCCTGCAAGCCTCAGGGAAATTCACCCGAGGGGGCCGTGATTTCAGGGAGCCAGGAGAGCCGGGAGGAGACAGATGACAGGAACTGGGGCATGGGCCAGTGTGGCTTACTTGGGCAGAACCAGGAGGCGGGGCAGTCTGGTCATGTTGCTTTTCCAAAGGCTGATGAGCTGGGCGCTCAGGATACTGGTGAGGGCAGAGAGAGGCACCTCCTTTTCGTAGGGGGCGGCGATGAGCATGCTGAGGGTGTCTCCGTGGTAGGGCAGTTCCACGATGTCGTAGTAATGGCCGTCGGGGGTGGTGAACTCAGCTGCGAAGACACCAAGGTGGCAAGGTGGAAATGGCGTCAGCGCTCAATAACTCCAACCCAGCCCTGGGTTTTCACCTAGTTTTCCCCTCACTCCTGGAAGCCACGTTCTCCACACTGGCTTTTGGGGATCCCCTGCCCGCTGCCCCTCTTAGGTAGTGTCTCTCCCCTTCTCTTCTGCCCATTCAGTGCCTTTTTGCCTCTCTTGGTCTCCGCTCCCCTCTTCCCTGCACCCAGTCACCAGTTCCTCCTCTTAGCCTCAGCTCCCCAGCCTGACTGGTTGGCCCCAGGCGATCACTAGAAGCATGTGAAGATGCGAGATCAGAGTCAAGTGGGCCAGTGTGGGCCTGAGGGTGGTTCTGGACTTCCAAGTGATTGTGCATGAGATAAAGCTCTTGTCCTCTGCTCCTGCTACCCTGGTGTCTCCCACTTGGGAAATCTGTCAAAGCTGGGGTGTATTCCAGGGTCTCTCCCTCCCTTTTGGATGTTCCTTGGGAGACCCCAAGACGAGAGGCAGGCGTTGGCTGCGGGGAGGAGGCTCTACTTACTGCAGTTGAACTTGTTGGTCTGAGACATCATGGGTACCGAGATCGTGCTGCCGTCAGACTTGTGGAAGAGGCGGCGGTGGGTGTTCGAGTCGAGGAAGGGCGTCTTCCAGTAGCCTTTGAAGTAGAGGGCGTTCACCAGTACCAGGCGCGTCAGCTGATCCACATCCCCTTCCCCAAGTAAGTCGCTGATCATGCCTATGGGAGGCCGATAATCAGGAAGGTAGGTATATTTTCAGCCTTTTGGGGGGTTTCCCAGTCCTCAAGTGGATGCATGCTGAAGGGATCCAGCCAGAGGGCAGGCGGGGATTTAAGTGAGCTTCCTGAGAGTCTCTTAAAGTTCCAGATCTCTACACTTTTTTGGTCCCAGAATCCTGACCAGGATGAGAGCTGGAGACTGATGTCTTCCTTTCCTTAACCCCTCAGCCTTGAGGACTTGCGTGTGCCTCTTGTTCATGATTGTTGCGGTTCTTATTAAATCTCATGCTTTGGGGGGATAACTTTGTGTGTGTGTGTGTGTGTGTGTGTGTGTGTGTGTGTGTCTTTATTTGAATCGGGTCTCACTCTGTCGCGAGTGTTGTGATACGATCAAAGCTCACCCACTGCAACCTTGACCTCCTGGGCATAGGTGATTCTTCCACTTCAGCCTCCCAGGTAGCTGGGACTACAGGATGTGCCACCACACCCAGGGAATTTTTAAACTTTTTTGTAGTGACGAGGTCTCACTATGTGGTCTAGGCTGGTTTCGAACACCTGAGCTCCAGCAATCCTCCCACCTCGGCCTCCCAGAGTGCTGGAATTGCAGGCATGAGCCACCAGTCCTGGTCAGGGATACCTTTAGAGTTATTTCACAAGAAAGCCTAGTCATGAAAACGGCTAGCTACTAGGCCTTGCTTCTTGAAGCCTTTGGCCTCTGTCCACCAAGTAGAGAACGCTGAGAGGGAGAGTCTGGGGTTTGTGGATTTGTTTCCAAATCGCCCTTCTCCTCAGCCCTGGGGGAGGGCTCCCCCTCCCTGTCTGCTCACCTTTCGTGTGAGTCTTCACCCAGTCGTTGACGATGAATGTGGCTCTGTCCACTTCTGAAAAGTCCACCTGCTTGACCATGTTCTGGAACAGCCTGAAGAAGCGGGGCATGAAGCCCTGGACCAGCTTCAGGTCCCGCTGGACGAAGATGGCGTCGGTGATGCTGATCTCATCCTTGTTCCACGGCCCCATGAGCTCCTTGTACAGACGGCGCAGGGCCAGGGCAGTGCCCTTTTCTGTGGCCAGGGAGGGAGGAGAGGAGGCGTTAGGCTCGTGTTGAACCAAGGGCTCCCAGCGAGGCCTGCTTCCCCCACGAGCGGCCCAGCCCTGGTGGATGGGCTTCCCTGCTCTCCTTGGGCTCTCAGGGGACAGGCTCCATTCCAAACCCGACCTCTTTCCTGCATATCCCTCCTGTCCTCAAAAGTCTCAGGTCCCAACCCTTTCTGTGGGTTAGAGCGTTTTCTCTGCTAAGTTATGAGCCCTACGTGCTAAGCATTTCACATGTGTAATTCTATTTTGTCTTTGCAGCAGCCCTGCGCGGTGGGTTTTGTTTTCGTTTTGTTTTTTGAGTCAAAGTCTCATCTGTCTCCCGGGCTAGAGTGCAGCGGTACAGTCACAGCTTGCCATAGCCTCTGCCTCTAGGGCTCAGGCAATCCTTCTGCCTCGGCCTCCTGAGTAGCTGGGACTACAGGTGTGCACCACCATGCCCAGCTAATTTTCTTTTTTTTTTTTTTGTAGAGAAGAGGTCTTGCTGTGATACAAACTCCAGGGTCTCAAACTCCAGGGTTCAAGCAAACCTCCTGCCCTGGCCTCCCAAAGTGCTGGGATTATAGGCGTGAGCCACTATGCCCAGCCCTTCTGTGGTAAGTTTTTTTTTCTTTTTTCTTTTTTTTTTGTTGGAGTCTCACTATGTCACCCAGGCTGGAGGGCAGTGGCACGCTCCTGGCCACCACAGCCTCAACTGCTGGGCTCAGGAGATCCTTCCACCTCAGCCTTCCAAGTAGCTGGAACTACAGGCATGTGCCACCACACCCAGCTAATTTTTTGATTTATTGTAGAGATGTGGTCTCGCCAGGTTGCCCGGGCTGGTCTTGAACCTGCGGGCTCAGGCTATCCTCTCACCTCGGCCTCCCAAAGTGCTGGAATTATAGGCGTGCGCCACCATGCCCGGCCAGTAGGTATTTTTATTATCCCCATTTTGTAGATGAGGAGACTGAGGTTTAGAGGGGCTAAGGTCACACCGTTAATACGTGGTAAATCCACTGGCCTGAACCCCTTTGGTGGGTCAAGGGCCAAGTGACATGGGATGTGGTAGGAAGAAGATGGAGCCTGGTCCCTGTAGCACAAGCTAACTTGGCTAAGTAGGGGTTAGCCTTTCCAGCTTCCGGCTGGCCCAACCCCTGTTCGGCGAAGACCACGTGACTCCCCACCCCCTCCTCTCCGCATCTCTCACCATCAGACTTGAATCCCATGGCCACTTGGATCTGCTGCCGGGTGTCTCCTCCTGCCATCACCTGCAGCATGGCCAGCACCGAGGCCACGCCATAGGGCGAGAAGACCACGTTGCGGTCCTTGGAGGCCTCCGCCGCCCGCTGAAACACCTTCACCCCGAAGTCTGCGGCCAGTTGGGCCACCTGGGACTGGGGACGGTGCACGGAGGACCCGTCACCGGAGACGAGGGCCAGCCCCAGGGCGAGGCAGGTGAGGACTGGAGTCATCTGCATCCTAGAGCGAGGAGAAGAGGATCTGATGAGGGAGTCGTTCTGGAAGAATGGCGGGTGGGCCGGGCTCCTTCTCATTGCAGTCTGCGGGTGGCAGGTGAACACAAGGGCTAGATTCATTGAGAGACCTCGACCCATTCAGATTTTGAGACCTTCCCACTCTGTCTCCTACGGAGCCTCATCCCTGGGCAGTCCTGGGAGCCTTAAGCCGTTTTCACCTGTGGGAATCTTGGAACCCGCCCCCTGCTAAATCGTGCTGACATCTTTCACGGGCATCTGCTTTTCGGTTCTCTTGTCATTCTTTCTCAGCAATTGTTTCATTCAAGTGAGCAGGCGAGAGGCGGGAAAGAGGGAGCGAACTGATCAGGAAGGAGGGACGGGGAGGGTCAAGGTCTGGGTGGTGGGGCTGCCGGCGGGGCCTGACCTCCCTCCCTGCGCCCCCACGGCCGCTGCCAGGGCAGGGTAGATCCAAGGCTGCAGGACTCCAGGGCAAGAGAGCCGAGGAGAAGCGGAGATCCCGGGTGGAGGATGGAGCTTCTTAAGCCAGAGGTGAGAGGTGAGGTGGAGGGAGCTGCTTTTCTCCTACCTGAAGTTCTCAAAGGCGCCTTGTGATTGGTAGTGAGTCCTGCGTGGCTGCTGCAGTGAGTTGTGGCAGCTCTGGCCCTGGGAGGTGGGTGTGGCTCTCTCTCGACAGCACTCTGGGCCCGGCAGCCAGACACAGCTGTGCTCCTCCTGGGGCTGCTGCCTCCCTTTATACCAGATGTGGGCAGGAAGTAAATGAACTCATGCTCCAGCCACACCCACCTTCTGGCTCTGGAAGTCTGCACAGCCAGCCAGGCCCCCTCGGCACCCCTCCCCCCGACTTGCTGAGGCATGTGTGTGTGCGTGCCTCTCTGTGTGTACGTGTAAGCGGGCTCAGGAACAGTTGAGCAAACCCTATTGCCCTTGGCCCAAGGACCTCCCTTGAGTTTGCTGCCCTCTGCCCGTGTCCCTCTCTCTTTGGACATTCCACCCGTCTGACCCCTGCAGTGCCAGGTGGCCCCAAACGCCCAGAATTCAAGAATACCTTCCCTGGGGCTCGCTTAGAGAAAGCACTTCATGGTTTCCCACTCTTGCTCTGGAGAAACAGGTTCCTGTGGGGGTTATCCAAGAAGCTAACCATCCTAGGGACATTTTTCCGCCAGTGCCGTCCACCCCATGCCCAGGCCAACCTCCAGGAAAAAAACACCCTCCCTCCTCTCGGCCTTGGCCCAGCAGCCAGAGAGCATGTGGTGTGCCACGTGATTGTCTGGGTTTTGTCTGTCTAGGACTTGGGCCTGACAGAGGACTTCTAGTCTTTCCCTCTCCCTGCCATGTGCCCGGCAGCCTCTGATGATGTGCAGCTGACTCCCCCCACGTGTCCAGACTTTCTCGGTGCCCTGAGGGCTCTCTTGAATCAACAGCTCTGTCTGGCTGGGGTTTGAGGAGTGCTGGGTGGGGCAGTGGTGGCTGAAAGGGACCAGGGGTTACCATGGTAAAAACTTGGCCAGGAATTAGGAGTAAACACGTTTTCATTTCTCTGGGCTGCCTGCTGTGACTGGGGGTGGCTTACGCCTTATCCTTTTCCTCCAGACACAGACACTTGGGGGCATAGACGCAGAGTGCCAATTCATGGTGGGTTTGTGGGCGTGCTTTTAGGGCCAAGGGATTAGGGGAAGAAGAGCGACTGATTCTACAGAGGGTAGAAACTGGCTAGCAGCGGGTGGGTGTGCAAACGGAAACATTTGGGGTTTGGGCAGGGTCAGGTGCTCTTGGCCGTGTGGCCTGGGTTTTGTGGATGGAGGGGTGGCAAGGGCGGTGCCCAGGGGGTCCTCCAGGAGGGAGATGGTACAGTTGACCTTGGGGTCCACGCAGGGTCATGCTTTGTGTCGGTGGTGGGGATCAACTGGGGGTATCCATGGAGACGGCTGAGAGTAGCGGTGGGGTTCCACTGGGAGTATCCATGGAGACAGCCGATAGTAGAGTCACAGGAACTATAAGTGGGTGGTAGTGTTGGGATGTTTGTTTTGGATTTTTTCGGTAAACAGATACCAAGGGCAACCGGGGCCAAACAGCTCTCCCGCTTTTACCCTGCCTGGGGCTTTGTTGTCTGGTTGCTCAGGTGGGGGTGGGGAGGAAAGAAGCGGGAACTTCTGCCGGAAAGTTAGGCTCGCAAGCACAGGAGAGAACTCTTCCTGTAGAGCTGCCTCTTGTTTATGGTTGTGGTTTGGAATCCCTGAGAGTGCGGTTAGTGGTGAGCAAGAAGCAACTGCCCCTGACCTCCTGGATGCAGGAGACAGAAGTTCAGCCCCCAACCCGTCTCTTGCCCTCAGAAATGCCCCCGAGGCCTTGCCTTCTGTCCTTGGGGGTCAGACAGGCGCAGGGATCGGGGCGGGGCGTGCCAGGCCCCAAGGACGTGGAGAAGCACCAGGTCTAGACACAGCTGGAAGTGGCCTCCCCAGGTGTCCGACGCCAGCCTCCCTAGCCACCGCATCCAAGTCTCCATCCCTTCCTCCGCCTGTCATTCCAGAAGCCACTATCCCACACCTGGCTGGCTCTCAGCTGTAAAATCCTTGTTGTTTTCTTTGGACAGCCCGGGCCTTGCCAGGATAGTGTGACCAATTCCATCCCTGCTGGCGGCTCCAGTGGCTGACCCTGACACCGTCTCCAAAAAAGACACTCCCCTTTTGGGCGCAGGGGAGCCTGGGAGCAGCTCTGAGTCCTGCTTGGGGTAGGGGTGAGGGAGTAGGGGTGAGGAGCATTTTACTTGGAAGCAAAAATGGTTGGCTTCCTAAGGGGTCTTTTCCCAAACCGCAGGGAACCTGTAGGAATGTGGTGGGCGCGTATTAGAAACTGAGGCAGAAACTGGTGTAATTGGGTCCCACACTGAAATTTCTATTTCTCCTTGGACTCTGGGGCCGCCCAGGTGCTGTAGAACCCCGACTTGACCATGGTCCCTGCTTTTCTTCTCCTTACACATGGCCTCGCCTCCTCTTGTCTGCCCTCAGAGCCAGAGCCTGACACGCACCAGGGCTTAGCTGCCTGCAGGCTGCTCCTGGAAGACCTCCCCGAAATACCCTTCTCAGAACCTAGCCTGACTCAAGGCGTGATCACTTTCCCCTCTCCTCCTGAATCTGAAATCCTTTCTTTCTGGACCCAGTTCTCATTCAAGCCTTGGGTTGTTTTGTAAGGGGTCAGCTGGACACAGAGAGAAAAGTCCCTGCTGTCGAAACAGCTGGGTCTCTGATTTCCGGAGGGCCAGAGATAAGAGGGTGAATGACAGGGCTGTGGATTTCAGGGGAAAGTTCCAGTTCCAGCCCATCGGGAACGATGTCTCCATCTGCCCCTGGGCAGGTGATTGGTGACTGGAAGACTCATACTTTCCGTGACGGTTCCCCACCCGCCTGTCCCACGCACACGTCCCAGTAGGCCCCGGCTCAGCTCAGGCCTCCGTGGCGCGGCCTTCCCGCCCCCGTCACCTCTTGCCCTTCTGCCCTCCTGCCCTCTTGCCCCATCCCTCCTCTTCCTCTTTGCTCCTCTTCTGGCCACTCTCCTTTTCACTTTCCCGCTGTCTGCCGAAGTCTCCCTCTTCCTGGTTTCTCTGTCTGACCTCCCACACCGGTGCATCGCCCATCTACCTCCCGTCTCCTCTACCTGCAGCACGAGGTCTCCCCTGTTTTCACACTCTCTCTTTTCCCCTCTCTCTGACTCAGTCCCTCCTTCCTTTCCGCCTTCTACAATCCCTTTTACAGTCAAACACTCCGCTCCGAGCCCTTCCTGTGGGGAAGAGAGCAACGTCTCCCATCAGTTACACAGGCTCCCTGGAATGTTGGACCCGGCCTCCCGATTCTTGGTGATTTCACTGGGAGAGCTGGGGGTGGGAGAAGGACAAGGGCTTGTTAACTCATAGCACTATTTCTGGCCTGGTTGCTCTCCAAACAACACAACTCCAAAAATAGCCTGCGTTTAGGCTCAGCTCCCTCTGCCCTCTCGAGGAGTAGGTTCACACGAGCGCTGGGTGCTGCTTTTCATTTAAGATCGTGGCCCTGGGACAGCCAGGCACAGGGCAGCCTTGCCTGTCCAGGGTTCCCTCCCCAGACTCGTTCCATGCCTGACGCCCCTCCTCTGCCCCTGCAGGCCTCTCTCCTCTTCCCCAGCTTCTAACTGGCCATCCCAGGCCTCTCTCCTCTTCCCCAGCTTCTAACTGGCCATCCCTCCTTGAATTCCACAACACTCAGGTGTGCGTCGTCCCACCCAATGTAGCCTCTGCCTGTCTCTGGCTGCTTTCTTCCTCCCATGATAATCAAGAGTTTCAGGGCAGGGAGGGCTCTAAGGATCGTTTAACCTGGTCCTTATAATTTGCAGGTGAGGGCCCTTAAGTTCAGAGAGGCTGAGTGGTGTGCTTAAGGCCACACAGTGGCCACACCATAAATGGGAGAATAGTGGTATGGAATCAGAAAGACCCGGCCTCCAGTCAGAGATCTGACACCAGCTGACTGCGGGACCTGGCAAAACTTCTTCACCTTTCAGTTTTCTTCCTCTTCCCTTCTCTCTCTCGCTCTCCCTCGACTTTATGATTGAGGGATCATAGCCTCAGTTTGCTTATCTGTAAAAGGCAGAATTCCCATCCTTCAGGGTTGTGAGGATAACAAGAAACGTTATCTGTCACGTGCCTGACACTCTAGGGTCTCACTAAGTGACAGAGCCAGGACAGGAACCCAGACAGCCTGAGCTGTTAATTTGTATAGAATGCAGGCTCCTTGGGGGAGGGATGTTTCAGGCATTCGTTTTTACTTCTCTCAGCATTTAGCGGAGCGTGGGCATTAAGTGCCTTGGAAGTGGATCGGCTGGTTACCTGAGAAGACAACTGCCAGCCCCTCCTGTCCATTTCAGACCAGATCCTGCCACTTTTGCCCTGGTTCTGACACACTCCTGCTGGCCGACTTTGCCAGTTTTAGATCCCAGGAAGATGTTCCCGGGTTGTTCTCTGGGCTGCGGTGTCACAGGTGGACCCACTGACATTCCATGTGTGTCCTGATCCCTTGAGCATGCCAGGGAGGAAGGGGGTTTGATTTACCAACAGGTAAAAATAGAACTGTGCTTGACCTGCTGTTCCAGGTCAGGCCCCTGTGGTCCATCCTCTGCCACCCATGGCATCCATCTCTTGCGGATTCCCCTGTAACACCCTACAATGCCTTAATCACTCTTAAACATCTGCACATGGCTTTGTCTTTTTTTTTTTTAGCTGGAGTCTCACTGTTGCCCAGGCTGGAGTGCAGTGGCACACTCACGGTCACCCCAGCGTCAACATGCGGGGCTCCAGCGATCCTTCCACCTTAGCCTTCTCCCTAGCCAGCACTACCACACCCGGCTAATTTTTGATGTATTGCAGAGACGAGGTCTCGCCACGTTGCCTGGGCTGGTCTTGAACCCATGGGCTCAGGCAATCCGCTCGCCTCGGCCTCCCAAAGTGCTGGGACCGGAGGCTGGGCCACCGAGCCCGGCCTGCCCTGTCTGACAGTCATTTTTGTACCTCCACATTCATGGTTATCGACGTGTCTCGTTTCCTGAGGGTGCTTGACGCCGGGCCTCTCATGGTGCCTGTGTTCACCGAGCGCATGTCAC